TCACGAAACCCTGGATTTTAGGTAAACTTTTACGGAGCCTTACACTTATAAGATAACGACATACGCTCAATGGGAAAAGAGAAAATAATGTGGGATGTGTTTTCATGCCATGTGTGTAAATATCGACCAAAAGGTTAACATAAGTCTTATCTCGACTTATTGTTGTGTGTGAGGTAACAAATTGAGTACATCACGACTCCTATCAGTGGCTCGAAGCTTAATTCGATGTTCGTTAGCTTAGCATGCTACCAAATGATCATGTGAGATTTGGTTTACCAGAGCATGACTAGAAAAGCTAATTGAATTCAAGTTGAGAGACTCGTGAGAAGAGGAAGATCAATGATGGAATCTCATTTAATTTGTTTGTTGGTATCGCTTATAACTTATGAGTCATAATTTTGAACACAAGAAATTATGATACATGAGATCTAGAGAGATGTATCAATGTGATACAGATGATCCAAGGTACTAAGCATACTTTTTGTGATCTACTTGAAGATTTTCATGACGATGTCGAGAGGTATATATTCCTAATAGATGTATAACAACGTGATCTCATAGTATGTTGGTTGCACAGCCTATTTTGTTTAGTATTATTAATGCAACAGAAAGAGAAGAAAATTATGCTTTTCCTAGCTTGATGAAGCTTGAGCACTCCATTATGTGTGAGTGAGAGATATTAAAAATTAGTTTTTGGTCCTAGTACACCTATAAAGGGTGCTAGCTAAGTGAGACTACCGATTAGTTACTCTAACCCTACCTCTAGCCATGTCAAATATCGTTATGGGTATTGGAATATACACATAAAAATCGTCTAACGACTAGGGTTAGATACTCTTTGGATTTATTGGAAGGGTTTTAGGTTGTGGAATTAAGAGGTTCATTCGGTGTGATTCTAGTCGTGTTGCTGCAGACGATTCGCTTCCACTTTGGAAAAATATTTTAAGCCTCCTAAACTAGCGTTTAATCACAATATAATATGATTAAGAAAAAACATTAATTACTCTTTCACTATTTTATTCCCCACTGCAGTTGGCTTCTCATGTAAGTACTTACTACATTAGCTTAGTCTCTAAACAACCTTATTTGATTTGACATTCTGCAAATTATATTCTGACAAGAAAGATATCTTGCTTCATTTTTTATTTTATTTTTTTGAAATATTTTTTATATAGATTGCGACTTCATTAAAAATGTCATATCCCTATCGACAAATCGCTTCATCCGACGTTAAATATACGTTATTGTAGTACCTACCTGATTTTGTAAGAGCAGAATATATATTCTTCTTAGTACTGATAAGTATTTGCTGGTAATTTGGGAAAACTAATATAAGTAAAGCAGCTCACTAAACTGCTTTAATCGATGATGGAGCTGAAATTTATACAAGGAGATTAAAAAAAAAGGATAACACAATTAAGATTTGTACCTGTAACCTAACGAACTTCTATCCCTTTTACACTGCCAGAATTTTTCATGTTGTCAAGAGGATTCAATACCTTATATAAAAAAAAAATTCATTTTTCTCCTATTGACACAACATAATATTTTCGCGAAAAGAATTCAATTGACACCCTTTCCCTCTACTTAATTCTGCAACTTTTATTAGTTACATTGGTACAACTATAAAACAATTTTATCCAAACAGTATATTATAACTTAAATCCAAAAGTAAAACCTCCTTTTAATTTTTATGATACTTTTTTTTTGGGACGTTTTATTATAGTTTGACACATTTCTATTTTAAGCAACTCTTAATATAATTTCATTAGACTACTCGTTTTCTAATTTTGTCGTGATATCTTTTCAACAACTACTTTAATATTATTTTACATCATCACTGATATTAGTTTGTCAATCTATTTTAGGAGGCGCTCAATACTTTTTAATATGTTTCCAAAAAATTGATGCATTTTTATATTTAAAAATTATTTAATCAAAACATCTCCATTTCATCTTAGTGACATATTTACTGTGATGTCACCTGCTATGAAATAAATTTTTACTATGAGAGATAAATAGGACGTGATATTGAAACTTTTAGTACTTTCTATGTTTTAATTTATGTGATTTTTTTTTTAATGTATTTATAAAGAATAATTCTTTCTAAATTGGAAATAATAATAATTTAAACTTCTCATTTTACTTTTAATAAGAAACTTTTAGCCGTATGACATGTTTATCATCACAAGTTTCAAAAGTTATAAACATAAAATATTATGATATGTTCAATACCATAAATTTTATTTTTTTCTTAAACTCAGTATCGAATCAACTAGATTTTCATAAGTTGAAACTAATGAGTTATATTACGGATAATTTCAGAGATTTCTCTCCCGATTTCGCTCTATCGCATTGACTTTCCTTGTAGTCTTATATATTTCACTCTTGTCAAAATAAGAGTAATGTCCTAAACTACAAAGAAATTATTGTGATTGAGTGAAACCTTGAGGTAGGTTTCTGAAATTATTCGTATATGTTATTGTATAATGTAAATTAAAATATAATTTCAATATCTTGTTGTTCTATATTCTTGACTCGTGTCAAAGTCTTCTTTCATTTTTCAAAAACATCGAAATGAACCAAATGTCACGTCTAGTAAGACATTAATATGTCAACTGTAATTGAGAAATGATAAAAATTTATTTACGCCCGACATTTAAATCAAATTAATGAACACAAAATAAGTGTAAATATTTTTGTATATTTATTTAGTACTCTACTCAGTAATAATTAAGTAATGATATTTTTAAATTTATAATTTATTTAATTAAATTTAAGATGTAAATATCGAATGGAGCTTTGTGCCTTGGCGTTGGTATCTTAGCTGAGAGATCAGAGCCGTTAATAATGACGCATTCCGAGAACGTAGATCGAGAAAGAATTCACTTTTTGTAATCAAACGCCACGTAGCCTTAGAAGTAATTATTGGATGCATCGCTGGTGAATGACAAGGATAGTGTCAAATTTTATTCTTAAGCAAAAAAAGAGGACGTGAAGAAAATGGCTGACCGACGGGCACGGGCAGGAGACTCGGGCAAGAGAACAATAACCTTGGAAATAGAGCTTCCATGTCAAATTGGTCCCTAGTGGGTCCCGGTAATTCATCGCTTTCCATTGGATGTTTTCAAATCATGAAGAAAGTGGGCTCAAAAAAGTTGTGTAGTTTAGTGGTTTGTGGGACCTACGTCGACGCAGCTCCAATGTAGGAGGAGAGAGAAAGTGGGGTCTCTAAAAGTAATAATTATGGGTGTGTAGAACGTTGGAAAATATTTTTCTTCTAAAATGAGTGATATTTTTATTTATTTTCTAGTGTTTTATTAGCTGAGAGAAAATATTTTTTAAAAAATATATAATTTAGACAAATATTATGAGAGACGAAATGGGTAAGATGGAGGAGGGTAGTAGGTCGGAATTTAGGGACCGGGATGGTGAGGGTTAGGAGGGGTGGGGTGGCATGGGGTGGGGGATGAGGGTGAGGGTGAAAAAAAGATTGAAAAAGAGTTTTGCAAAATATTTTTCTTTCTTTCTTTCTATAGGAACGTCATTTTCTTCTGATCGAAGAAAAATGAATTCATTAGTAAAATATTCAAAATAATTATTTAAACCAACCAAATAGGGGAGAATTGAAAAATATTTTACTAAACACACCTTATGACAAGTGTTCTTTTTCTTTCTGGTTTTTGATTTGGCATATTCAATTTTATTTGGAGACTTGATTTATTCAAATTTATCACATAAAACTCATTTACAAATATGCTTTTTAAAGTTTTCTATATTCTTAATTCAAACGGCTCGGAGGATTAAATTATTTATATCACAAACCTTAAGGTCAATGTGCAAAAAGTACTTATGTTTTGCAAAAGGTTCCTCGTTCTAAATTGGAGCCCTATATTTCAATCTTCCTTTGAAAGTACTCATAAAGTAAATCTAAGAAAAAATATACCACCAAAATCTAATAAAATAGTGAAGTTCATGCACTTATTGAAGATTCTCTAAAAGAATAAGGGAGCAAAATGCTAAAGAAGTTTGTGCCATAAAAACAATTCTAAAAAGTATATTAACTTATGATAGTCAAGTTGGCCAATAGATGCAATGTACTATAGCCATTAGATTCCACCCCTTGAATCCTGGAGAAACAGCCAGTTGTTTTATCACATACCACCTGCTGTATTATATGTACTCCTCAGTCGCTAATTTACAATTATTGAGTATTTATATAGTTTTTCTATTGGTCTAAATAACATTAAACATAAAGTGGTCCCCACTCAACCAATCAAATAAAGACATGAAATTGACAAAGTATCATTCAGGAATCTGGACACCAGTAAATTTCTAATTTGTGGTCAGTACTTTACGATTAGTTTAACTTTCACAAGGTAAGGGATCGTCTAGTAGAGTAAATAAGAATAATACTTAATATGATAGTAATGATAGGATTAGTAATGCTAAGATTAATTATGTTGAAATTAGTTCTTATCGATTGTTTGGTTTAGTGTATAGGTTTTGAAAGAGCAATTTTGTATTTATAAGAATATTACTAAATAAGGCGTATAACAAAAACAAGTATTAGTTATAAATAGATTGAAAAACACTACCAAACAATAGATTAACAATATCAAAACTAATACATATACTCCATCTGTTCCAATTTATGTGAACCTGTTTGAGTGGACACGAAATTTAAGAAAAAATGAAAACTTTTGGAATTTGTGATTCAAAACAAGTCAAAAAAGGGTCCAGAGTATTTATTTGGTTATAAAAGTTTCTCATTAAGTGTAGAATTGAAAGTTTAAGCTAAATTGTTTCTAAATTTAGAAAGAGATAATTCTTTTTGGAACAGACCCAAAAAGAAAATAGATTCACGTAAAACTGAAGCCGATGGAGTAATAATAATTGAAAACGTATATAGTAATTTCTACTTTGTCACTGTATATAAGTATAACTTAATTTTCTTATTAAATAATATAATGGTCCATAAGCAACTCAACTATCCTTGGCTAGCCATCAATATATAAGAAGCTCCACCACTTCCAAGCCTTCCTCCCCCACTCTCCATTTCTCTTTTCATTTCTTCTACTTCCTTTACTTGTACAAGTAATAGGCATAACGTTTCTTTTCTTCATACAAAACAATGAAGAAGTCGTCTGCAGTATATTACACTGGATGTGAAGAACACCAATATCAACCTCATTTTCTAGATGCTTGCTTTCTTTGCCAGAGACCCTTGGGTCACAACAGTGACATCTTTATGTACAGGTTAGATAGATATAATCATCTCACATGATTTCTTTTTCTGTTTATTCCAGATACTCAAAAGGGGAATTAGATCCCTTTTCTTGTGGGATATGGTCATTCTATTTTATCAATATAACAAAATTATGTATTATCACATCAAAGCAGCTGACTCTTTACCTACTTAAATAGTAAAATCATAAAATCACTTTTTGTCAAAATACTATTACCGCAATTACTTGTATAGTACTCCCCAAAACTTTTGAAATATTTGAAGTTAAATGTATAAAAATTTTGTGGGGTCATAAAATTTGTGTGTTTATAAAAGTTTCTCAGAGTAAAATAGTTAAAATGAAGAGTTTAAATTTAAATTATTTTTAATTATAGAAATGTGTCATTCTTTTTGGAACGAACTAATAAATAAAGTGTGTCATCTGAATTGAAAAGGGACGAACAGCAGATAAACTTACTAACCATTTTCCTTGCCACTTTATTTCTTGGGATATGAATGGAACGATCTAAAGGTAAAGGGGACTGAAAATTTTATTGTGATTGCAGAGGGAACACTCCATTTTGTAGCCAAGAATGCAGGCAAGAGCAAATGGAGATGGATGAAGCCAATGAGAGAAAATGGAAGCTTTCTTCTAAGAAATCCTCAAAAAATACACACAGAACAAAGACAGAAACCCCCGCCAAGGAAACTGACACAAATAAAGCTGTACGGACTGGCACAGTTGCTGTTTCTTGAATCTTTCAATACTCTACATTCTTATGGACATGAATTATTATGAGGCTACACCTCAAAAAAAAATGGAAAAAGAAACTCTCCCAACTTAAAAAAGAAAAAGGAAAAAAGACTGCTGCTGCAAGTCATTTGAAGATGCCAAAAAATAATTTCGAGTACAAAATCATCTGTAAATTAAAGACATGATGGGAATCAAGAAAATGAGAGGAATGAAAACCATCAAACAATTTTGAATCTTTACTTTTATATTTTTCTAATTTTTCCTTTCGTTAAATCTTGTGGAATATGTCTGTAAAATGGGCATCCATATTTGGGATGGTTTGAAATGTCTAATTTCCTATCTTAACAATCCTTGCTTTCATATTATAAGCTAATCCGAGATTCTGAGGTCGTGAAATTGTGAAGATATGGTTCATTTACTTCTTTCTAGTATTACGCATCCAGCTGGTTATGTGGTCCATGATGTTTTTTGTTTTTTTTTTGTGTGTGGGGCAAATATCATGAGTTATGTTGATCCATAAAATAAAGGGAAAAAAAATATTTAAAAGACCAAATATTTTAATTTTACCCTTTATTATATTTTGTGACATTTCAAATTTTTGGCAAATCATATTGGAAAGCAGTTTTAAAATCATAGTCAAAAGTAAATGGATAAATTTGAACCTTCTTTTCCAACAATACATAGGCAAACTTGTCCAATTTTCCATTTAATGTATACTCAAATTGTACCTATGGGGCACAAATCTGACAATTAAAAACTAAAGTTTAGTGCGTGAGTATAACTTGCGGGTTACATGACAAAAAGAACCAATACACAAAAGACACGTAAGCAAAGAAAGAAAAAAGTGAAGAAATGAAAAATAAGAGCCTGGACATAAGAAATTTTTTTTTTTTTTCAAAAAAATTTTACTTCTTACAAAATCAACGGTTCTTTATAAAAATTTTAATTTTCACTTGAAAATATAATTTAAAAATTTTCGAAAATTTTAAAAACTCTAAAAAAAATTATTTTTTAAAATTTTCACTCAAATCACTCACAAAATTTCAAAAACAACCTAAAATAATATTCATGTCCAAACACAATTCTAAATTTCAAATACCATTTTCACTTTATTTTTATTTTTTTCCGATTTGAAATTTTACCATTCTTATGTCCAAACGCCCACCTAAAAACGGAGAGAGAGAGAGGAGAAGTTGACCAGAAAAAGTAATTCCGGCGGAGCTCCTACCAGAACCTGCAACCCCGTTCACGTATATATCCATTCCTTCTAAATTTCCATTTCAAGTGCATAATTTGCAACACCGTTTTGTTATCCGTGTTTAACTACAGCCTGAATTTTCTCCAATCTTGCAATCAATGGAGATTTCTCTTTCTTTGCCACCAAAGTTTGCTTTTGGTTTGTACAAGTTTGGATTCTTCTCCCCGATTTCGAGCTCGGGTTCTGTCGTAAAATTCCTTATGTAGATCGCCTACGACAAGAACCATTTCCCTGTTAATGACGACGACGAGATAAAATCAAGATCGAGGTTTCGTGTCGGATCCAAATTTGCAAAGTGGCAAACACTACCATTAACACTTATAACAGCAGCAAAAGGATCTTCATTAACTAAATGCAAGACCTATTCATGGACGTCAATTTTTAAGAAAGGGCAGAAATATAGCTGAAAATTTGTAAAAATGATGAGTGAAATGGCTAAAAAAAATAGGTTTGAATCTATGGCTGAAATAGTTTTGTGTGAAGCAGAAAAATAATTCGAATCTATGGCCGAAAGAAAAGGCAGAAAAATTGAGTATGGAAGAACAAGAGGAGGAAGACGAACACAAATGGCCGGAAAAGTCATTTTCCCGTGATATTTGATATCTTCCGGCGAAATTATCTGTCCTAGTTCACCAAAAAGTTATTTCACGCGCTTAGTTTTGTGTAAGAATCACACATTTGTCATGTCAGCGTGTTTTGTTCCATAGGTACAATTTGAGTATACATTAAGTGTTCCATAGTTCATAGGCTTAGTTTAAGTGTGTAAATGGAAAAATTGGACAAGTTTAAGGGGTTATGTATTCAGCCTAAAATTAATTCAGTCTAGAGCTGCATTTAAACTTTTAAAGTATTAGGTGTCCAGCTAGTAATGTGGTCCATGATGAGCTGTTTTTAAAAATCATGAGTTAGGTTGACATACAAACTAATTAACGATAAAAGTGATGTAAAAGGCTGGAAAAATATTACTAGCGTTCTCGTTGGTCTTCCAATCTAAACCAATTAAACTGGATGCAATTTTTTTGTATGGTCACTACTCACTAGTGTATTATGGAACTTAATATTGTAAAATTTTGCAGCAATGAAGCATTTATTTTTAAAAGATTTTCATAAGTACTAGTATGTATTGGTAAAATAATAGATATAATCAAGATTTTCTTTGAGTTGTTTGGGCAAGTTGTTTAGGAATACTCGGTCTATCCCTTTTTAGTTGTCATGTTTCTATTTTCGAGAGTTAATTTAATTATCTTCGAAGTTAAATTAAATTAAATCAATTTAGTATTTTAAAAAGTAAAATTTAGATATTCAAAAACTATATAAAAAGAACTACAAATTACAATTCTTCTCATATCAATATGATGAAAAAAAATAATTTAAAATATTAGTCAAAATTCACATAATTTAAATCTCGAGAAGCGAAAAGCGATAAATAATTTGGGATAAAAGAAATATTTTGGACCCTAGTTTTTCAAGGATTGGATCATACTAGTATATAAAGTGCACGTTACTTAATTTGCTTAATCTCATTACCACTTCAAAAGTTTATTATATACAATTGAAACCAAACATCTGCCCCACCCCTCGCTACTAGAAATTCAGGAAAAATCCTCCAAAAAAACCGACCAAAGTTGATTTGTAATGGTCAATAACTGTCCAAAACGCGACCATTCATGTGTGGACGGTATTTTGAAGGTCGGAATGGTATACCGACCAAAGTTGGTCTGAAATTATCGACCAACATTGGTCGGTATGCCATACACGATCATCTGACAATTTAATTGACATACCGATCAAACTTGGTCGGAATATTATTTTAATAATTTAATTTTACCAACCAAACTTGGTCGTTGTATTAAATTTATTAATTTTGCCTACCGATCAATTTTGGTCGGTATTGGAAAATAATTTTTTTTTATAAATAATTAAAATTTAAAAATACCGACCAACTTTGGTCGGTACTGGAAAATATATTTTTTTTATAAATAATTACAATTTAAAAAAACCGACCAAAATTGGTCGGTAAACTGGACATGGCAGGCAACAAACCGACCAAATTTGGTCGGTAATGTTGAATTTTTGAGAATTCATTGTACATTAACCGACCAACATTGGTCGGTAATGTTCAATTTAATTTTTTATTTTATTTTTAGTTACCGACCAAGGTTGGTCGGTTTTTTAAATTTAAATTTGGCAAAAAATACCTGTTTTGGTAGCTACACCACCTGCCAAATAAAAACAGCATACCAATACCCTCAATTCACATCTAATAATCATCAATTCACCACATACAACCCCTAATTCACCACAAATCCAATAAAATATCCAACAACAGCAACAACAACAACAACCAAACATCCAATTAATACTTTAAAACTAACAAATTAAAGTTCAATTGAACATCACAATCCAAAACCAAGCAAAAACTAATTACAACAAGTTCAAAATTGTTCAATCTAATTCAAAACTGATTCTATTAGTCTAGTTCAAAGTATATCAAAGTATTGGTCAAGGAGTATTTTCTACAACATCATCACCGTCTGATGAACTTTCATCTACAAGACGGTATAGAGAACAGTCTTGTGGAGGACGGAAAGAACGATCACGGGGAGGACGGGAGGAACGATTACGAGGAGGACAGGAGGAACGATCACGTGGAGGTCGAGCCTTTGGCGATGACTCACGATACCGGGGCAACGCAAAAGCTCCAGTAAAAAGGAGAGTTCTGATCTGAGCTTGCATACCAAGGAATTGAGCATCTCTAAGTCTTTCTCTTTCCTTGGCCACTTCTAGCTCGGATGTAAGCTTTATCACTGTCTCCCGCATAGCCGAAAAGCTCTCCCTATTAAGTTCCTTGCCTATAAGGAAGTCCATATTCATTGCATTCCACACCTATAGCGATGAAATTTTTTCGTAGGAAGCTCGTATACCTTCCCCCATTTTGGACCGCCAACAGCTTCTAACCATATTCTTTCAGCATCCTCGTCCGAAGGTTGGGTTGGCTCGCCCAATTCACCAGCTGGCTGACTACGAATGAATTCCTCCACGTTACTTTGGTAGCGACCCTACATTATTTTAAATTAAATTAGTATTTAAAAATTCTTATAAAAGTAAATTATAACACTTAAAGAAAATTGAAGGCTTACATATGCAGTCTCTGCCCGGTCCTCGACCCACCTATCTACATCCCCCTCTTTCTTCTTCTTTAAAATATGCGTCTTCTTGAATAGCTAATCATGGCTCATTGGATGCCCATACTTCTTTTCCTGAAAATAAATTAATTTAGTTAATAAATAGAATTGATATACTTATTTTTCTGATGATGATAGCACCCCCTAGTGTGCAAGGAGCCTCCCTTCTTGGATGAGCGAGTTTTCTTTCCTTTTTCGCTCCTCCGTATGAATTCGTCGGTCTGCCATTGCCTTAATAAATCATCCCATAAATGTTGCATACACCAGTTAGGCCTCTTGTTCTTCTTTCTACCATTCGAGAAATGATCCGCTAATCTTTTGCGGGCTTTATGATAAAAATTTGCAGCCACTTCCTCGCTATAGCAGTCTTCCCATACACACTTGCTCTGCATTTCAAAAGTTAAATATTAGATAGAAACATCATAAATATAAATTATTAAACTGCTTAAAAGAACATTTATACCTTAAACTGATTGAAAATTTGCTCCTTCAGCAAGAGTGGGAAATCAGTACAAGTCGCATAAGGGCCATCATAAAGCTTTTTGATCGCATTGGTGATTATCTTCGTAGTCTGCTTACCCGGCTTGAAGCTGCAATTTAACAATAAAAACACATGAATATATTAGTAAAAATATTATAAAACAATAAATGAAAAAATAACAAATAACTCTTACCCGTCACCCTCAGGGACTATGATGATCCTGCCATAGCGATCATAATGTACTACCTCTGGATCATCATCCTCAGCATGTATATCAGAGGCACGTGTAGATGGTGTAAGAGCTCAGAGTTACTGTCTCGCAGGTAAAGGCCTGGAATGGATGGAGTCGATGATGAAGATGGTTGCGATCCCTGTAACTGCGACATAGCTGGATACGATCCATGTGGTTGTGATACTGATGGTTGTGACTCGAGTGGTTGTGATATGGA